CAGTTCTTCAGCAATGTTGGGAATCCTCCTGGAGTGAGTCATGGAACATTTCATGAACAAGGCAGGAATGACCGTGGTGTTATGGCCCCACCTGTGAGTGGACAGCTTCAGGATCCTGGGACAAATACTCCTGGTCCTAGTGATAAGCTGGCCCTTCTGCTGTCACAGGTTGGCAGCTATTTCATCCTTGTCACTGCCCTCTTCCTCAATAGGACAAACTTGATACAGAAAGCACGGTCGCTGCCCTTGGGGAATGTGGAACCGTAGAGGTGCGGTGGAGTTGGTCATAAACCCCCAGACAGCAGAGCAGATTGACTCTGTAGATTGCACAGCCAAACCCCAAACCTTCCTCAGCCGGGAGAGCTGAGGAGGGTCTGATGTTCTCCAAGAGGCCAAGGCAGCTTCCTCCCACCCCTCCTCCTTCTGAACAGCTTTATTAAAGTTTAACTGAGGAACAGTAAGCTGTGCGTAAATTCTACAATCTGATGTTTTGCTATCACCAAGGTCAAGACAATGACTTGATTCATTCTCTTTCAATGCAATTTGAAATCCTCTCCTTCCTGTGTCTCTTGCCTCATCTCCAGCCAACCACTGACTGGAGGTTAGTTTCCATTTTTTAGAATTGTGTGCATGCAGAATCATAAAGTTTGTGCCTTTTGTCATCTTTCATTCCACAGCATTATTTTAAGGCTCATCCATGTCACTGTTTGTACATTTCATTTCTTATTATTCTAGGTAACAATTCATTACATGGATATACCAATGTTTGTTTTTTATTCATCTGTTGGTGGATCTTAGAATTGTTTTTAGTTTGGGCACTATTACAGAGAAAGCTACAAAAATATTAATATGTGAATTTTTGTGTGACTATGTTTCTATTTATTTGATAACTGCCTGGAAGTGGGTTGGTGAGTAGCTTATGTAGTACATGTATCTTTAACTTTTGAAGACATTGCCAAACTGTTTTCCAAAGTGATTGAGCCATTGTGCATCATCTGCCAGCTATTATGAGAATTGCACTTGCTCCATATCCTTGTCAACACTTGATATGGCCAGAATTTTTAATTTTAGCCATTGTTGTGGGTGTGTAATGGCATCTTGTTATGATTTTAATTTGCATTTCCTTAATGACTAATGATGATGAGCATTTTTTCATGTGCCTACATACCATTCATACATCTTTGCTGTTCTCTTTAGATATTTTACACTTTATAAGTTGGGCTGCTTGTCTTCTGTGGGTGAATGTATTATATATAATACATATATATATATATATATATGAAGACTAATAAAAGACTTATAATTTGAATATATAATTTTAAAAATATTATAATATGTATATTTGAAATATAAATCTTTTGTTGAATTTGTAAGAGCTTTCTCCCAGGCTGTGACTTACTTTTTCATGTTTACAGCAACTTCCCTTTGAAGCACAAAACTTAATTTTTGAAGACTTTTAGGTGAATGTATATTGATGTGTATCATTTAGAACTTATGCCTTTCGTGTATTACTTTGTCAAACCAAGGGTCACAAAGAATTTCTCTTCCGTTTTCTCTAGTCATTTTACAGTTTTAGTTCTGACAATTAGGTCCCAGTTCCTTTCCATTAGGTCCATTTTTAATTAATTTCTGTGTATCAAATGAGGGATGGGCCTAAGATCATCCATTCTTTTGGAAGATTCCTGGTGCGCTGTGTTAATATCCTATGTATTTTCTCACCACACCTCCATCTCCACCTCTTCACAAAGCCAACACCTGTTCCAGTTTTCTCATGTTTTCTAAGCTTATCAGCCTCTGACCTCCTTCTGCACAGTTCTGAACGTGGGCACAGAGACTGCTCCTCACCTGCTCTGGATGTCCTGGAGCAGCTTTGCACATTGATCATTGGACACAGACCAGACAGCATCCCTTTGAGGCCATTCTAATCTTGACGGCTGTTTATTTCTGATGACAATTGCCTTCCTAGATATCCTTCTGCTGTAGGAACAGCCAAAGGCTCTAGAACTCCCCCCTGGGAGAGAAAACCAACTGGATTTTAAGTAGCTGGGCGCCCTTGTTGGCACATGTGGAAACCCCTATGCAAGGAAGGTAGGCAGCCGTTCAGTATGAGGTCAGGTCTTGTTACCTCCATTCCAAGAGTGAGAAAAATGAGGTTTTTCAAGATTCAGTGACCTGCTTAAAGTATCCCAACTGCCTCACCACTGAGCACCTGCCTCCAGAGAATACCTTAACCTCTGAGCCACACTGTCAGTCATTTGCTTGTCACCTACTAGAGAAGACTGAGCTCAGACTTCCTACTCCATGGCCAGAAGTTCCCACTTTGTAAATACTGCAAGTTGCATATGGAATTTTCCTGTACGCAAGAAAAGCTGCAGCCCCACATTCTTTTATGGTTTCAAAGAAAAACAACTTCAATGGATGAGAGATTTCAAAGGCTGTGTCTAAGTTCTCAGGCACGCACAAGTCAAAGAACTGGATTTGGGAGAGGCTGGCTTTCCCCCTTTCAACTGGATCCAGGGTTTATTTTTTTCTTTTGCCCTTTGTTGGGTTCAGAAAGGAAGTGCTGAGGGCTCAGCTGTCAGTTCCCAGGACTAAAGTTCTGGAGGGAAGGAGGGAAGGAGGGAAGGAGGGAAGGAGGGAAGAAGGGAAGGGCTCTCTGACAAATCTTCCTTTAGTCTTGCGAGCTCCAGGCCCTCTTTGATACCTCACTGTCCTCATCAAGATCTATGGCCAATTTTCAGCTTTTCCCCAGGCCTCCATTCACCCAGCCGGGCCAATCACTCAGGAGCACCCACACCCGTTACTCCTGCCTTTCTCCCGCACGCTTCACAACCCCTTTTCCAGGGAGACAAAGAAACAGCTTGGGCTCCAGTTTGTGTCATCTAGACAGTTCTGCGTTCTTTTCAGGCACCCCAGGCCTGGCCTATGTGAGGCTCAATTTTGCAGAATTCCTTTCCCCGTGGTGGCTTGAAACCAGCAATTAGGTCTCATTTCATTTCCCTCTGCACATCTTTCTCGTGTGTCTTTTCTGTCGCCTTCATTGTAAGAGCTTCCAGGGCACAGATGATTTGATCCTTTCCATCCCTTGTGTCTGCTCAGCATGGGCCTTACTCACAAAGTCCAAATCTATATAGTTTGCTTCCATCCAATTTGCCCACGTCTGAGTGTTGACTGCTAAGTTTGCAAACTGAAGTTTATAGTTTTCTTCTGAGTTCTAGAAAGCAAATGAGCAATGGTGGTGCAGAGATGCATTTTCCTGTCAGGGCTTAGAGGCTTAGAATGAATAAAAGCATTCATCTCTGAAGGAAAGAGAAATAGGAGCTTCCAGGAAAAAGAGGTCCTGGGCTATAAGCCAGTCTTTACAATACCCTGAGCGCCCTGCCCCTGGAGATGTAGCCATTGCTTCATAAACAAGGTGGGCCTGCGGCTGGGATAATTACACCCCATGGCTCGTGTGCCCACGTGCCATGCTCCAGGAGGATGTGTCCCATCCTCCAAGCTGGTCTGCTTGGAAAACGATCTGCTGTATGAAGCCTCTACCCATCTGCTTGAACTGGACTTAAGATTCTGAAAACACAAACGCCACACTGCTGGTCTGCAGGATGAACAAGGCACAGTCTCAATTCTCAGTTGAGCACAATGCAATTTCTGACTATCATCAAAGGAAGGCAATCTTTCCCGGGCAGGAGGCATTTAAAAGGAGATTTACAGAAGGATAGGAATTAAAAAGAGGTGTGAGCAAGGTGGGGTGTCAGGATGCTCAGGGGACAGTGAAGGGCCAGCACTGCCTGTGTGCACATGAATACAGGGGATATGAGTCTCTCACAGGAGCCTGGGACCAACTTATAAATATCTTTGAAATCCACCCTAACACTTCATGGACCTGACCTCTGAGTCAGACAAGTAGACTTAGCTTTCTTGCTTCACTGCTGGGAAAACTTGGGCAAATTAGTTAACTTCTCAAAGCCCCAGGTCCCTCACTATTAGAGAACTAACCTGTAGGCTTCCAAGGAGGAGAAGGTGGACGTATTGCTTGGGATATGCACAATATGGGCCTACATTTGCTATTATTTGGTATTGAGGGTCTGTAGGCTTTTTTGTTTGTACCAGAGATTGAACTCATGACCTTGTGCACACTGTTACATCCCCAGCCCTCTGTAGGTTTTTTGAAGTGATGGGTAAGTTCTGAGCCCAAGAGCAGCACTGTGTTGGCAGCCTTAAAGAATGGATCAGCAGAGTCAAGTGGCCTCAGGAAGAGGTCTAGTTTAAATGTTCTGAGCACATGCACAGGCTGAGGAAAGGGCTAACATATCAACCCATATGACGGGCTTGGCAGCGCCCAGGTGACTAGGACAGAAGTAGTGATACCTAAGAAGGCCACACATGGATCTTAATGGATCACCCAGGGAAGCCCAGCATTGAGGAAGGTCTGGGAAGACAGATGTGAAGCCTGGTGGTGCTCAGACCGGTGCAGTAGACAAAGGTCTGTGTCAGGAGATGGATGGGGTTCTTGCGAGTGGGCACAGCTTTCCAAAGTATGTGCAACAGGCAGCAAGCCCTAGCTCCATCACACACACACAGATACAGATACACACACACACACACACACAGAGTGTGAACTGGAACCCACTATCTCACTTCGTGTTTTCTATTTTTCTCAACTTTTTTTGATTTCTAAAAATTATTGTAGGATTACTTTTTCTCCTCTACTTATACAGTTTCTCTTCCTTTTCTTTAGAACAGTTGTCCCAGAAATTACTGTATCAACATCTGCAATTAAGTTAATTAATTTACCTTCCTCTTTAACAGCCCAAGGCTGTAAAGCCAGTGTTCATGGAGCCTCATTCATGTGTTTATGCCTCCCTCGGCTCTCCCCATCTTTTTGCAGCTCTCATCTTCTATCTGGGGTCACTTTTGTGGTGCCAAGTATACATCCTCCACATCATCGTTGTTTTAGTTACTTTATGCTCATCGCTGAGACAAAATACCTGAAGCCCAAGTTGGGAAAGGAAAGGTTTATTTCTTACAGGTTTTGGAGGTTTCAGTCCACACTCAGTTGGCTCCAAGGCAGGCAGGTATGGCTGGGCCACCGTTCTTGGCGGCTGCAAACAGCAAGCTGGAACCAGCAAAGAGCAAGACACGCCTTCTTCCTGCCATTACATCATATCCTGGCTCCACCCCTATGTGGGAGGAGCACTGACACCATCAATCCAAGCACTAGACAGTGAATCGATCACAAATACACAATGCAAACTCATGAGACCTGGGAGACACAGACATAAACCATGACAATCGTTAAGAGAGTTACTAGCCTCCACATTCTCTGTTTTTGTTGTCTGGAAGTGTGTTTGGTGCTTTTTCATGGAAGATAATTTCACTAGGTGAAGAAGTCTGAGTTGTCAGGTCATCTTCCCTCTTCTGTTGTTACCATTGACAAATTAGTGTTAGTCTAAGGGTTTTGACTTAGCTTCTGGTTCTCTCTCTCTCTCTCTCTCTCTCTCTCTCTCTGAAATTTACCACATATATTTCTTCCTTTACTTTTCCTTCTTTTTTAAAATTCTGCTTGGGATTCCTTGGGATTCTTAACACGTGTGAATGGTGGTTGCTATCAACTCTGGAAAAATTTCAGCCAACACCTTGCCTCTCTCCTGTCTCTCGCCTCTTCTAGAGCATCTATGACTTATAGGCTAGCCTTTTCCATGTCTCTTAACTTTTCTTTCATATTTTCTATCTTTTGTCTCTCTGTGCTTTGTTCCATTGATTTTTCTTCTAATCTGCCTGCCAGCTAACAAACTGTCTTTTAAGCTAAATCTAATCTTTCACTGCATTCAAACATTTCAGGCTTGGTATTTTTAATTTCCGGAAGTTCTGTTTCCTTCTCAAGTTTGTGAGGTCCCTCTTTATAGACTTCTGTTTTCTGCAGATATTCCCAAGCTTATCTTTTATTTCATTACACAGAGTAAGTATGGTTATTTCTGTAATCAGTGTTTCACGGTGCCCTGACCTATGGTTGCTATATGTTCTTATCTGCCATCAGTTATCTCTGCTGGCTTGAATTCCCTGTTTTTCCTTGCTTGGCTATCTAGAGCTTCTGTACTGTTCAATACACTTGACAACTTATTGGTGGCAATTTATCAAGGTATAAAATAAAGAAAGCTTCCCCCAGAGAGAATTTATGGGTAATTTCCCCAGCAGCCCGGGGACATTAACAGTCCTGAAGTAGTTCAAATTTGTGACTGGAGATTTTTCAGACCATCCACATGATATAATCTTGGGCTGCTAATCCACATGAAATCTGGCTGGTGATTTGAACTCAGAAGCATCACTTTCCCCCTAGCTTTTACATTCCCACCATAGGGAGGGTGTTTGAAGTGATGTATCAATCTAGAGGAGCCTCCTGATTGATTCCCCACTGGGGACAGATCTGAGCTTGACATTTGTCTACACTGCGCCACATAATATTAAAACAGAGTTCCTTGCAAGGGGGTGAGCACCTGTAATCCAGCTACTAGGGAGGCTGAGGTGACAGGCTCACAAGTTTGAGGTCAGCTTGGCTAACACAGTGAGACCTTGTCTCAAAATAAATTATAAAGAGCAGAGGACATAGCTCGGTGGTAGAGCAATTGCCCAGTTCACATGAGGCCCTGAGTTTGATTCACCCACACCACAAAAGAAGAAAAAAACTGCTGAGTTTCTCATGTATTTAATCATCAAAGACGTTCAGGGTCAGAATGCTTCCAATGCTCTTTATCTAGGTTCTCGCCTCCCCCTAGATTTTGACTTTATTCTTTTTAGTCTCGTCATTGATCCTTTTAAGATTCTTTTTGTTTCACCCAGCATTTTTTGTTTTCTTCAGCAACTATATTCCCTAAAACAGAAATTGGTGGATCTTATGCTGTGTAATCCTGAAAAAAAAAAAATCACTTCCTCTTTGAATCTCAGGCTCACCTACCCCATAGGGTATTTGAGAAGATTAAAAGAGAAAATGAAGCTAAAAGAGCTAGCACGGTGCCTGGCTCTTAACTCCCTTCCTCCTTACTACTTGGTTGTGTTGAATCCTTGGGACAAAGAAAGAACTCAGTCATCTGATCTGAGGCCCAAAGTCCAGTTATGGCATCGGCTGGGCTACCGGGTCAGTAGCCAGAGTTCTTTGTCATCCTTTGATTTCTGAGCTACCAGCAAAATGTTTGACCCTAGAAATAGGGTTCAGTAGTACAACCAATCGGTGCAAGGTGCCAATGACAGGTGACCAAACACTGGCTTTAGTGTTGGGAGCAAAAAGGTACCCTGGAGGACACCCATGATCTTCACAGAATCCCAAGAAGCGCTGCCTCCAGCCCCATAAGGCAGGGTTGACAGCATATTGCTTGGGGGGAGCCTGGCCTATGAGCTGAGCTTCTGGGAAACATCAGCCACCTTGGATCTAGAAGACAATTATGAGCGATGCTTCCCAGAGAAGTTGGCTTTCTATATCAGGAAGCCAGGTTGGCCTCTGAGGGACTAGAATTAGTTCTGAGCCCTCTGTTATCCTCCTCCATTGCAACCCTCCACCTGGCCACCTACCTCCTGCTGGGGACACCGTAGTTCCACCTGATGCCAGTTGGTTTTAATGAGTTTCCAAGGTCATGGACATTTCTTTCTGTGAATGCCATTCTCTTCCTAGTGAGAGGTCCCAAAATTCAGGGTCAGATGGCACCATCATCTTCTATACCCTCAGCCCCATTTAGAGGTAATTAGGGAACTTTGTGCCTTTTCCTGAGCCTAATCTCAGTCGTTTCTGTCCTCACAGTCCTTACAGCAGTTCCCTGGAGGGCGAGTTCTGACCAGACAGGCTGGGTATGTTCTACCAGTGTTCTCCCAGTCTACAAGGCAGAGTCAAAGCCAGAGAGACCTTTTCAGGATCCAGAGTGGAAGGGAATGGGGAGAAGGTGGCAGACCATTGCACTCACTATCAATCAGCCCAGGTCTGAAAGAATGAAAGTCCTCTGATGCTAACTTACTATAGAATGAAGTTATTTTCTAATCAATTACAGCATCTTTTGATACTTTATCTGCATAGATGAATAAAACAGCTTTTTAAGCAAGCTCATCCATGTTAAGGAAAAAAAAAAGTCCAGCCTTAGCAATTTTGCAAGACGGAGCCTGTCTAAAAGTTAAAAAATAAATAAATAAATAGGCTAGGGATGTGGCTCAGTGCTCAGTAAGTTCAGGTTCCAGGACTTTAAGAGAAGAGAAGGAGAAGGAGAAGGAGAAGGCAGAGGAGGCAGATGAAGGGGAGGAGGAGGAAGAGGGAGAGGAGGAGGGGAGGTCAAATGCATCAGTTAAAGAGGACCAGTCCCTGGGCGGCTGCAGTTCCAGCCTGTAGAGAATGCAACCATTCTCAGAGGATCCCACTGCAGCCTAATTATCCAGTGGGGAATTGGTGTGTCTTCACAGGAAAACATTACTGAGGGCTTTTAGCATGACTTGTCCCAACGTTATTCCCTGCAGAGACAAAGCGAGGAGAACTAGGCAAGCCCCAGACTCAGACTCACATTCTGGCATCAACAGGCAAATATCACTGCATCATGTTCTAAAATTTGGAATTTCTCTAGAAATTCCACAGCAATTTAACTCCCAAAGCTAAGACTGCACTGCATTGGAAGCCTGTCTTATCTTACCTCAAAGATGTTTTCTGATATTTGCTCAGTTGTTTCTTTGGCCTGGACTGCCCTTTTCCCCCTTATCTGCCATGTGGACATCTGTTTATTACTCAAGAGACAGTTCTGGTGGCTCTTCTCCACAATCTGCCGTGACCCTCAATCCTCCCAACAGAAAGACCAGCTCATCGAATTCTGCCAAAGACTCCCACCTAAATGAGATAAAACCAGTACTGTTCCTCAAACTCACAGAATGTCTAGCCCCAAGAGTGAATCCTAATGTGAACTATGGACTTTGGGTGATAAATGTTACGGCAAATTGATTGCGACAAATGTACCACCTTCGCGACGTTGACAGTGGAGAAGGCTGTGTGTGTTACAGGGAAGAGGATATAACATAAATCTCTGTACTTTTCCTTCATTTTGATATGAACTAAAAATTACTTTAAAAACATAAAAATTTTGGTTTGCTAGTAACAAACACAAAACAGTGGTATTGCTGCTTTCTCTCAGTATCTCTGTTTTGGAACATTCTTTGAGAAGCTCAAAAGAGTATGCTGCTTGTGTTTGCTTCTCAGGGCCCCTAGTAGGCTGTGGACTCCTTGAGAGCAGGCCTGAGTCCTTCACTGCACATCCTTAGAGCCTCTTCCTGGACCTGGCTCTGTGGTCAGTGAGTGGTGAGTAGGGCAGTCATCTGTCTTTCCCAAGGCAGCCAGGACAGAGCCCCGTGTCACAGGTGCCCTAAACATACCTGTGCCATGACAGAAAAGCACTGCATACAGACCCTCTTCTAGGAATATGCTCACATGCTGAGTCTCAGTGACTTTCCTAAGCCAAGGTCTGTGAGCTTAAGAAGGAGTTTCTAGGACTTCACCTTGGGGTGGCATCTTGAAAAACTTTAAAGAAACATGACATTAGAAGGACCATCTCCAAGGAAGGTGCCATAAGAGAGGCTGGCTTTGAAGGAAGTCATTGGTGCAAAACCAGTTACTTAGCCAGTTAGGATCCCATCCAAGACAGCATAGCTCAGGGCTGGTTCTGTTCAAGGGTAAACAAGGTCCATTGTCCCATGGATGTCACTCTGGCTTTAAAAGAGTGTTGCATAAATGACCATCTGCCTGTGGCATCAGGACATAGTTTGTTCATTATTGGACAGCATTTCTGCCTCATTTCCTTCTCCCCCAAGTGCCTCTGGTTCTGGCTGCCCCTCCCCCCAAAGGACAGCTAATAGTGCAGGAACTTTGGGCCCCTGTACACGCATGTATCACTAGTCACCAACATGGAATCTTGGGGAGCATTATTTCTAGATATTTAGCCTCCCAGATTTGATCCTCAGAGCCAGATTTCTCCCTAGACTTCCTGTACTTGGCCTCTGCACTGTTCTCTGATTGATCTAGGTGAATGGAAGTTCTCACTGACCGCAGGGCCTGACTTCAAAAAACCAACCAGCTTACCTAGGGCTGTTGGTGAATGGGAAGGCCACGGTATGGGCTGGGTGGGAAAGGGGCTGCATCTGGCCACTCATCAGGCCAGAGAACTTCCCAGGACCCCTGAAACATAAGGAGGCCAGGACTGGCTTGGAAATCACTAAAACCTTCAGGAGCTCATGTGGCCTCCAGTGGTATTTGTCTCTGTGTCTAGGAATCATTGTGGTGCCTTCAGCCCATGCCACACATGCCAGAGTGCAGGATGAAGACAAGCAATAGACTCTGGCACCTCCCCATATGTCTTAAAAGGAAGCCTCAGTCTTCTCCTCTTCCTGGGAGGGGGGATGTAAAGCCAGACCTTCTCTTTGGTTGAGGAAAGGGCTTCTCTGTGGATTCCCCAAGGGCTCTCCTGTACAGGGAGGAAGAAAACGCCCAGCTCCCATATGCCCACCACTGGCTAAAATCCCATTAGTAACTAGTGTGATTTTTCCCTTTCCCAGGAAAGCAGTCTGGCTCTCTCTGGAAACAGGCCTTCTATCCTTCCTGGATCTTTCCAGTCCTGTCTGCTCCTCAGACCTCTTGCACTGTATCTCATGTTGACCTTCCTTCTTGAACATAGAATCGACTGAGTAAAGCCTTCTGGATGCCCTTGTAGCACAATCATGGCAAGGTGGCTCATGCACTGTTGTTGGCATCAGTGAGTCCACAGTCTGCTGGAGCAGATGGTTATAACAGTCATCTGTGCCACTGGACTGTGGGCCACCAAGGAAGAAACTACCAGTGATCTGCCAGGACCCGGAAGGCTTTCCTGGAAAGCGCGCCACCAAGCAGGACATCAACAAAGCAGCAGAAGTTCTCCAAGTGGATGAAGCATGAGCCCTGCCAGTTGTTGTGACACAATTTAAAGAGCCACACCTCATAAACAGACTTCCAGGAAAGCAAACCAGAGAAGACAAAGAGGATAGCCTGGTGGCTTAAGGCCTTGAAGACTGTACTGAGCAGTTGTGTATCCTGGAGGGAGTGCAAGGAGACTCTACCTTGTCCTTTTAATTTTAATTTTTAGTTTCTGGAGACAGGGTCTTACTACATAGTTCATACTGGTCTTGAACTCACTATGTATCCCAGGCTGGCCTTGAACCCACAGCAAACCTCTTAAGTACTGGGATTATAGGGGCACACCACCATACCTAGCGCCTCTTTTTTAAAAAATAGCTTTACTAAGCTATAATATACTTACTAATATATATTACACATACATAAAATGTTCAATCTGATGAATTTTAACTTACATATGCACCTGTGAAAACATCACCATCAAGGCAATGAATCTATTCATCACCCCCAAAAGTTTCCTCCTGTCCCTTTCTCTCTTGTCCCCTGTCTCCAGGCAACCACCCTATTCTCTGTCACGATAGATGAGTTTGCATTTTCTGAATTTTAAATAAATAGGATCATCCAATACATACCATTTTTGTTTGTTCTTTTCTCATTCTGCATAATTATTTTGAAATTCATCCATGTTGTTGTGTATGCAAATAGTTAATTCCTCCTCATTGCTAAGTACTATTTCATTGTAAATTCATTGAATTCATTTCTCCTTCTACCAGTTGAGGGACATTTGGATTGTTTTCAGTTCCAGGCTCTGAATGTTCAGGTGCAAATGTCTGTGTGAATATGAGCTTTTGATTCTTGAGTAAATACCTAGGAATGGAATGCCTGTGTCCTAGGATAGATACACATTCAACTTTTTAAGAAATTGCCAAACCATTTTTCCGAAGTTGTATTCCCATTTTACATTCTGTCAGCAGTGTGTTCAGCCCCTACATCCTGTTTTGTCTGGCTACAAATTGCCTGGAGGGGAGACTTTAAAATTGAGTCTTCATTGGACTTTTCCAGCTGGTGACTACTGAAGTCCTCAGACCTACAGTCCCTGAGACCAGAACTCAGAGGCAAGGGTGCCTGTAAATTCTCCCTGAAGATAGCTGCATTCTCTCAGGCACCAGGAACACCCCCAAGGGCTGGGCTGAGCAGGACCGGAGGAGGTACTGAGCTGAGGGGACCTCTAACTCAGCACTGGAAAAAAATCCCGGTGGTCCTGAAGAGACCACAGTTCCATTAGTTACAGCTCAGATACCATGGAAACTACTTTTTGTGTACATGAGTGAAGACTGTGAGGTGGTACCAGGGCCTCAAGCATTGTAGGAACAGCCATGTTCTTTGGCCAGACGTTCTCTGTTCCGGAGACATAGCCACTAATCAGACTTGCCAAGAAGAAGACACAGAACCAAAGGCTCTGGAGCTCTGAGCACCTTTCTAGGAGGAAGGATCCTATGCAGGCTTATTTCCTGGGAATGGAAACAGTGATGGGACTGTATCCAGAACAAGGGAACAGTATGTTTGTGTCCCTATGACCACTACTGGGGTCTGGTCTTTCTGGCTGGCTCTACTTGTGGATCAGGATCCCTGATGATAGGTGCTAATATAATGTTTAGGGTGTGAGCCCTGCTAGAGTTTGTGCTCTGCTATTCGTTCATTCATTCATCAACATTAATCAGTGCTTTATCAGAACCAGAGGTGACTCAGGCAGGTTGGGTTCAGTTGTGAAACCCTCCTGGTTCCGCCAAGAGATTTCAACACTGTGCAGTATGAAGGGCACAATATTTCCTCCACAAGGGAATGATCAGGTGGGATTTGAGTTGTACAAAGATCCCCTGTAGTCAATATGGGGGACGGGTTAGAGCATGCAGAGAATATGGGCAAGGAGGTCATTAGGAAGAGATGTGGGAGGATCTGAATGGGGCAGTGGTGGTGGGAGCTCAGGGAAGGAGGATGAGGGGTGAAGGAGCGTGGGGGATGGGTCAGCGCGGTGCAAGGCCACCAGCTTCTTTCTTTCTGGCGTTTACTGAAAGCTGTCCTTGCTGATCCCCACCAAACACTGAGTGCATAAATGATCAACAGATGGAGCTGCAGGTTGGTCAGATAAACAGCAGGTTGGACAGATGTACAGATGGCGTTTAGTCACAGGAGCAAAACCTGAAACAATCACCTGGAAGAGGCAGTTGAACCACGGCAACAATCTCCCCACCCACCTGCTCATCGCCTGTTGCCTGAGCAGCTGTCATTCACTGAGGTGAAGGTGGGGACCACAGGTGCCCTCCTGGGACTAGCAGGAAGCTACCAACTCAGCCTGGGCTGGCTCCCAGAGGCTTAGTCATCTGTGAAAGAAACAAGGACACTGTGATCCCTTCTTGCCCCAAATTCCTTAGGCAGTGAAGGACTCCCTGCAACCACAACTTTGAACTTCTAGAAAGAAAACCTCAGGGTTAGGAGGGGAAGGAAGGGGAAGTTAGAGCCTGGTGAGGCGGCTGAAGGTTTTAACTTGAGCTCTGCCAAGAGGAACTAGGTCTCAGCTGTGATCACTGAACCCTGTACCATGTGACGTTTCTGTGCTTTTACCAATGAGTACAGCACAGATCAGGCAGGTTTCTGTCACTTAGATTTATGTACTGAAGGCTCCACCCGCAGATGACCTTAGAATGATATTCACCTCATTCAAAATTTACCTTAAAAATACTGTGCAGGGACCAGGGTGCAGAACCAGGAGGAGAAGAAGGCAGGGGCAGCTGGATCTGCTGGAGGGGACAGAAGAGCATGCAGGATGTGTGGAGAAAAGGCCCAAAATCCAGGGTTCCAAGTTCAGGACTGGGTAACACAGGAAGCACTTGGCGCTGCTAAGCTCATACTGGGCCATGATCACAGGGGCCTGGGAATCTGTGTTTATATTCGTCCTCCTCAGTCTGGGTCAAGAGGATCAAGTCTTCTGCCCAGGTCTTTGGAACCAGGTTTCACTGAAGTAGATTTCTTCTGTTTCTGTGGCTGAGGTAGCTATTTATCAGCTCAGTTATGTTTACAGTGAATGACTCTCCACCTGAGGTCTAAGTCCAGAGCCTCTGACTTGTTGTCTAAATCAGATTTTTGGAACCACCTGCGGTTTTGGTATCAGGGTTAAGTGTTAAAAGGGCACCTAGAGGCATCCACTTAACCCCTCCTTTGATACAGGATGAAACAGAGGCACTGAGAGGAAAGATAAGCCCCAAGGCCCTGCTAGAAATGGCTGAGCTTGTCTGCCTGAAGTTCAAGGGCCCCGGGGACCTCCGTGCTTTGGCGTTCTAGACTGCTCTTCTTAGGAGTGCCCAGGGATGCTACCTTAGTTACTGCCACCCTTGGCCTGGCCCATGTTCTGTGGCGTCACCAGCAGGGCCCCCTTGCCCTTGCCCATCAGACCAAGGAGGCCTGCTGGGAGAACGATGCCTGATTTGCTGCAGGGGATGGCAGCTGCAAGGCAGAGGAACAGCCTCCAGACACAGGAATTCCACACAGGCCACCAGGGTGAGAAGTTCAAAGCCAGGATGGGCAGGGCCTGGACTCTGACCCAGTGCAGCAGATAAGCTTGTGAGGAACCAGGCAGTTCCTAGCACAGGGATGTGGGCTGAGCTGTCAGTCTCAGCCTAGGCACTCCCCTGGGTCTTGATAGTAAAGACCAGAGCCAAGCACGGATGGTGACACCAGCCTGAGGCTCCCTGGGAAGGAGGTGTTTGGGTGTAGGCCAAATGGTACAGACTGGACATCTCTGGACCTACGGCATGAATTCTGCTAACAACTCATGTGGAATCAGAGGGGTGGCCCTTAAATGTCCTGCAGTCCTCCAAAGTGATCTCTCTTTGGTGGTAGTCACCCTGCCACAAGTGAGCAGAAGAATGTGAAAAAGCTGGGTACAGAGTGCTCCAGGCAGGAAGGCAGTGACCTTGGTGCCATATTTGTGCCCCAAAAGCTTCCCCAGGTGGCTGGCGCTACTCCAAGACAAAAGTCACCCACGCAAAGTTCCTTTTGACTTCTTTCTATATCCTTCATCCTCAGCCTGAGATTTCCTGGGATGCTTGCTAAATGAGCAATAAGGGGAGCAAACAGCCAGATAGATGGGCTCTCATCCCCCAGGCCTCTACCAGGCACCTGGGAAGGAGGGTATCCTGAGGCTCTAATATTTTGGGGTGGGGAGAAATGAGCACGTTGGATGAGCCACTGACTTTGGGCATCCTAATGTCGTTCTAATGACATTTGCAGTGTCAAACCTGGGTCAGGCTGGGGCTTCATTGGGGTGCCAGTTGAAACTATGGTTAATGCAGAGACAGGAAGAGGAAGAGACAAGTCTGGGCTTTCCCAGATGGTGGGGTGAAATCTGAGGATCTACTCTGTACCACTTCCTCTAGGACTCTTGACTGCAGGTAAAAAGACCTAATGAGGTGTCATTAGAGAGGCCATTTTGGGGCAGAGGCAGATGCCTCTCTACTGAGGAGCCACATGTGCTAAATGGGGGTAGCATCTCTCTCTCTCTCTCTCTCTCTCTCTCTCTCTCTCTCTCTCTCTCTCTCTCTCTCGTTCGCTCCAGGGTCTTGCTATGAAGTTCAAGCTGGACTTGAACTCACTTTGTAGCCCACACTGGTCTCAAACTCTCAATGATCCTCCTGCCTCAGTCTCCCAAGTGCTGGGATTATAGGCATGCACCACCACACCCAAGCATCTTTTTTAAAGCAGGTTTTGCATGGAGCTTGTGGGAAGCAATTGTGGGTACCTGACATGGGCCTTTCCTATGAGCAACTCCACCCTGTCATTTACTCCCACTCTCAGTCCCATGATGAATCTCTACCCTGAGAGGCCACTGTGAATGCCTGAGTGTTTTCTCAGTAACAATAGTCACAACCTCACCTAGTCACCCCCCATCCAGCCCATCCATCACAGGTAGAGGACTAAGCATGGTGCAGGCACCACTCATTTCAAGCCAAATGGAGTCACAAAACAGTCCTGAGCCAGCCACCTGCTCCCTCTTAAGCCTCTGGGTAGCCTGGGTACTCCCAGCATCCCAAGGGACTGGTGTCTGACCTAGAGCCCAGGCCAGTTACACACTACATACCAGGATCACCTGTTGATGAAACATCAATTCACTGCGGCCTCCACTTCCCATGTACTAGGGGAGGCCCTGACGGCCACCGGGGAGAAACAGCAAGGAAGCAACCCAGCCCCCAGCAGAGGCCCTGTTGGTCAGGGAGAAATGGCAAGGAAGCCCCACCACCCCTGCACCCCCCGACCTGTGAGCAACCGGATACAACATAGGCTGAGATGATGATAACTGAAGTAGAGAAGCAACTTGACATTTATGTTATTTGATCAGCTTCACAGGCCTGGGGCCGGTGGGTAACTATTTAGAGGATAACAATATGTAATACAGTAACAACTGTGGATTTCTTACCAAAAAAAAAAATAATAATAATCCCTTGAAAAGACAGGGTCCTCGACAACTTGCTCAGGACCCCTTCTGTCTCTCTCTTGGACAGAATATATTCCCCCAGTAAATATATTCTGCTCTTAAAAACAGCAACAACAAAAAACACATTACTTGCACCCTTAGGGCCTCATCATTATTAGCATGTCAGAAGACTATGATCAAACCTAACGGTACACAAGGGTTGTAAAATGTTTCGGAAGGGAAAGGTGGGACCAGACTATATCCACTAACTTGAATCGTATATCTAATAGAAAAGAATATAAGTGGATAAATTAAGCCCAAAATTTGTATATTTCAATATTATTAATTTCTTTCTTTTTACCTATGAAATTGTCAGGCCTCATTCTACAACAAAAATCAATCCATCCTTTTGCATCTTGAACAACTATTTGTAAAAGGACAGTATGTAAACATCAACTAGTGATTTCTTAGTGTTCAGTTTTTCTCTGAACGTATATATTATTTCTACTCATTTTCTGTTTTGTTTAGTCTTTCTTTAAATAAAATTTTAAAAAATATTTTTTAAAAAGTCAATTCATCATTGCTAGTCACTCAGAAAGTACAAACGGTTAAAAGAAAACATTGACAGTACCAAGTGCTGATCAGAACGTGAAGCAATGGAAACTCTCAGCCAAGGATGGAGGGAATACAAAACAGCACAGCCACTTTGGAAAACATTTTGACGTCATCTTATAAAGTTAACAATGTCCCAATATCTCATTCCTATATTTGGCCAAGAAAGATGGAAATCTAGGTTCATACTAAAACCTGTCAGCAGCCTTTTATGGCAGCTTCATTCATATTTGCTCCAAACTGGAAATAACCCATATGTCCTTTAGTCAGTGAATGTATTAACGAGCTGTGGTACATCTATGGAGAGGAACACTACTTGGAAATAAAAAGGATTGAACAAGTGATGTGGGTAACAACAAAGGTGAATCTCAGATGTGTTATTCCACGTCAAAGAAGCCAAACTCAGTCACCATACTTATGATTCTACTTACACTTTGGAGAAAGCAAAATTGGAGGACAGACCACAAATTGGTGGTCACCAAGCCTAGAGATGGTGATGGGGAAGGCACTGACTGAAAGGGGCATGAAGGAACACTTTGAGATGATGGAAATATTTTCTGTCTTGGCTGTGCTAGTGATTTCATGGCTGCATGCATTAATCAAACCCCTATAATTATACACCACAAAAGATGGATTTTATTATGTGTACATAAAATGTCAACAAAGACTTTGAAAAACACGCCTATTAATCACAGTCACTCTTTCTAAGCCCCAACAATTTGTCAAGCACTGTACCAGGGCCTTCAAGTCTTTTCTTAAACGTTTACTCATTTGCTTATGCAGCGAGCACTTAAGGGGTGCAGTCGTCAGGCTCCATGTCTGTTTAATCTTCCCTGCAACTCAGGTTGTGCAGATGGCTTCCTGAGCCACATGGAACAACCAGCTGAAAGAGTGGCCAGCGCCCAGCCCTGGGCCTGTGGAAGGCCTCATTTCCATGGAGTGAGGAATTCTTAGCTTTGTCAGCCTTTGGGCAACCTGAGAAAGGCGGCCCTGGTGAAACAGCCAAGAAGGAGCTGCTTCCTCAGTAAGGTGCCAGGTGAACAGGGACGTGTCCTGGTGTCCAGGTCACAGCTCTGATCACAGAGTATGAACTATGTGTTTGGCATTCTTGTGAGGTGGCTCTTCCTCTGCACAGGAGGGTGTTTGTTTCTGCTCAGCTCAGATGAGAGTGGCCTTGGTTTCTCTGGTGAGAAAATTCAGAAGTGGGAAATCCCAGGATAAACTCAGGGTCAGTTACAAACGCACGGGAACATTGTACTGTGGGAAAAATGAGCAAACCAGAGCTGTACATGTTGTAGACACATGGCAAAAACACAATGTGGAATGGCAAACAAGTGACTAGATGAAAAGATATGACAACACCTACGTATGTTTTAAAAACACAAAATAGTACTGTATATTGTAATGGATATAAACTTGGATATACATCCAAGTATATATAGCACTATAATGTACAGTACCATATATTGTTATGAATAAGAAGTGTTTTAAAAGCATGAACAAGAAAAATACACAGCAACTGAACTAGCTCTGTAGAGGACACTCACAGAAATAGTGTGAACTGTTAACACCTGAGACATACGAGTTAAATCGAGGAAGTCCATTTCACATGGTTTTCTGTCCTTTGAGTTGAAATACGTCATAACTTAAAAACAAGCAAAAACAAACCTTGAGAACATGATGCCAAGTAAAACATAAAAAGATAAATATTGCATAATTCCATCCCTATGCGATCCAGTCAGATTCACAGAGGCAGAAAGTGGGATGGTGGTTACAGGGAGCTGAAAGAAGATGAGGAGCTGGAGTTTCAGTTTGGGACAACAGGAAAGTTCTAGAAATGTGTGATAGTGAAGACTGCACATGGAGGATTACTCTACACTGCGTGGTACACTTAAAATGGGGAAAATGCTAGGTTTTAGATTAT